CCGGCCTGTGCCTCCGCGGGGTGACCGAGGGGGCACACGCGGGAGACTCGAGCTGTGTTGTTTTTAGAAAACTGCCGCCAATCTCTCTTCCCCTTCCCCTGCTGAGTGTGCATTCCCCAGCCTAGACCCGCCAGGCCAACAAATAAAGCGGGGCGGGGAGGGACTGCCCAGCGCCCCACGCCCCGGCCTCGCCGGCCCGACTCGCTCCCGCCTTTCTCCGGAAAACGGCTCCTCCCGCGGGGCAGCGCGCAGACAGCGTCGGTCTCCTCTGGCTCACCAGCTGAGCACTGTTGCCAGCCTTTCCCCAACCAGCGAGTAGGGCATGCACTGTGCCCTCCGAGGGAAATAGCATTTTTATATCCGCCTCTGATTGTCTGGATCTTAGCTGATCGGGGGCGTTTCTAGACTCCTTAGCTTCGCCGCACAGCCCTGGGGAATGGAGGCCTCCCTCGCCGATGGACCGCTGCTGCTAGTGGTCGTGCAGAGCACCTGCCCTCGCTCACAACCTCTCTCTGCGGTTGGAGTCCCTGAGCGATGGAAAGGGTCAGTTTTACATTTCTGCAGTTCTCCAGCAAGGGAGACAGACCTACTTGTACGGGAGCAAGTGCGAGGGGAGGACCTTGCAGTCCTCCTAGGTGGTTTTATTTTGGTCTCAGGAACAGATCTCTTCCTGATACCACAAATCCTGAGACTAGATGGGGGCCGGCCCCACTGAAGAGAAGATTCACCTTTCTCCCCCAGGAAGGGCTGGGGAAGGGCTGGGGAAGGGCTGGCAGAGGCCCTGACCAGGCGGCAATTCCAGCCCTTCCTCCCGCGCTCAGCGGCTGCTGCAGAAAAGGCTCCTGGTGTGGTCTTTCTGAGCAGGCTGGAACTGTGACCCACTGCTAAGAACCGCGAGGCGCTACTTTATCGTATGTTCATTGTACTCAGAGCTTCACGCCTAAAGCCAGACATGTGTTCGCAGATACGTATGTATCAGCTGACCTTGCTATTGAAAGTAGATTAAGATATTTTGTGAATCAATAAAATGTGTGTGAGATAACCAGAGACAGTGTGGGAGGAGGGTGGGAAATGGCAGAGGGTGAGAAATGGGGCAGAAAAAAAATATATATATGAAACAAGAAATGGAAAATTGTTGATAACATGTATGATTAAGCCACTATGCCATGTATTCTGGATAGGGAATCACATTTTGTATGCTGTGATGATACTCAGTGAGTGAATGTTAGAAAGAAAGAAAGAAGGAAAGAAAGAAAGAAGGAAAGGAAGAAAGAAGGAAAGAAAGAAAGAAAGAAAGAAAGAAAGAAAGAAAGAAAGAAAGAAAGAAAGAAAGAACAGACTAGGGGGTGAGGGCAGCAGATGGCGTATCTGTCACATCACTGGACTCCCACATGGCCTATGGCAGTTCCAGTCCCAGACCCAGTGGCTTGAAACTCAAGGGGCACCTGTGTGCCCAAGATCCCCAGAGGAGAATGGAGGAGAAGGGATGGTGGAGTGACCATCCTCAGGGAGGGGGGAGTGGGATGGTGGTGGTGGTGATGTCTCACTCTCTCTCTGTTTCTTCCCCTCCATCCCCCCAGAGTGCAGGTACCCTAAGGCAAAAACCTAAAAAAAAATAAAAAATAAAAATAAGAAAAGACTAAGGGCCCAAAAATGGTGTAAGTGTGGTGGTTAAGGCACTGGGCTCCCATGTGTTCGACCATGGTTCAAGTCCCAGACCCAGTGGCTAGATATTCATGCCAGGCTCGCATGCCCAAAATACTAGGAGGAGACTGGAGAAGAGATTGCAATGTGGCCATCTTGGGGAGGGGATGATTTCTCACTTTTCTGTCTCTTTCCTTCCAGGGAGCAAACACATCCTATAGCAAAAATCTCTCTAGATAGATAGATAAATAAATAAATAAATAAATAAATAAATAAATAAGAATAGGCAAGGGGCCAGCAGGTGGTATGGTGACTGTGCTTCAGTTCCAGGACCCTGCAGCTTGAAAATCACACACAGCTCATGTGTGTGGTGCCCCAAATCCCATGAGACGGGGTTACAGTTGTGTCTCTTGGTGAGCACAAGCACCCTAAGAGAAAAACAAACCCAGAGAATAGACTAGGGCCTGGCCGAGGTGGCTGCTGCTGCTTTGGAGCTCGAGCTTTGTAGGAGACAAGGGTTTGGATCCTGTCTACCAGAAACAGGGTGACAGCAGACAGGCCTCCCATGATCCTGCCCGACGGGACGGCTAGGGGCGGCCGGGTGGGATTCGGGTATAAGGAGACCCTGGTGAGGGTCACCTCTTTCTCTCTGTCAATAAAAGTAACTTAAAAGAAAAAAATAGACTGGATAAAAAATGGTTTCTTCCTTTCATCAAGCGCTCATCAGTTTGTCCGAAATAGGATGTGATCCGTGGCTCCCAGAAGGCCACTTGTGCCAACTTCCTCAGGTACTCCAGGTTGAAGCAGTAGGGAGATTCGGGCTGGAAACTAGAGACTATCAGGTCTAGGTAAGCGTTCTAAAACATTGGACTCGCACTCCAGAAAAGCAATCAAACACCGTATTTTTAGTAGGCGCTAACCTACATTTAAAATGGAAAAATGGAAAAAAGTAAAATTGAGAACCGATGAAGAGCTAGAATTTAAATGCACTATTATTTAAAATAAATTTGATTAAAAATGGCTCTTTTGGTCAAATGATACTATCATTCCAGGAGCATCCTGTGGACCTCATTTAGAGCTATCTTTTACATTTCTACTGGCAGAGAAGGAAAAAAATAAACAAATATATCTTTACATTCTAATCTTCGTTATTAGCCTTTTTAAAACAATGTTTAGGACCAGCCCATGGTGTGGTGGTTATGGCAGCTGGATCCCACATGACCTACTTCTGGGTTCAAGTCACAGACCCAGTGGCTTGAAAAACATGCCAGGTGTGTATGTGTGCATGTCCAAAATCCCAAGGGGAAAATGGCGGAGAGGGAACTGCAGTGTGGCCATCTCCAGAGGGGTGCTTTCTTACTCCCTCCACTTCCTGTCTCTCTCCAGCAAGCGCAGACACTCACTGATAAAAAAAATTAAAAATATAAAAATTAAGATTATTTATTGGGGCCAGCATTTGTCATGGTGGTTAAGGCACTGGAGTCCTGTGACCTGGCCATCCCTGGCACCCCGGGGTGGGGTGGGGTAGTAATTTCTCACTTTCTCTGTCTCCCTTCAATGAGTACATGTGCCCTATGGCCAAATATCTTTTTTTAAAAAGATAATTATCTTGGGACCAGCAGTTGCCATAATGACTATGTCACTGAACTCTCATGTAGTCGACTGCGGTTCGAGTCCTGGACCTGGTGGCTTAAACTCACGCTGGGCGCGGGTGTGTGTGGGCCTAAGATTCTGAGAGGAGAAGGGGTTGTGGCGTGGCCATCCTCCCTGGGGGGTGATTTCTCGCTTTCTCTCTTTCTGTCTCTCTCTATCTTTCTGGTGAG